GTGTTGGGTTGACGGTTGGACTCGATGATCTTAGAGGTCTTTTCCAACCTTAAGGATTCTATGATTCTATTAATCACAGAATGGTTTGGCTTGGAAGGGACCTTTAAAGACCATCTAGACCAACCCCCCTGCCGTGGGCAGGGACATTTTTCACTAGACCAGGTTGCTCAAAGCCCTGTCCAACCTGACCTTGAACACGTCCAGGGATGGGGCATCCACAACTTCTCTGGGCAACCTGTGCAAGGGTCTCACCACCCTCATGGTAAAAAATATCTTCCTTATGTCCAGTCTAAATCTACCCTCTTTCAGTTTAAAACTGTTGCCCCTTGTCCTGTCTCTACTGGCCTTGGTAAAAAGTCTGTCTACGTCTTTCTTACAAGCAAGCCCCCTTTATATATTGAAAGGCAGCAATAAGGTCTCCCTGGAGACTTCTCTTCTCCAGGCTGAACAACTCCAACTCTCTCAGCCTTTGGTCCTAGGAGAGGTGTTCCATCCCTTGGACCATTTTTGTGCCCTCCTCTGAACCCGCTCCAACAGGTCCCTGTCTCTCTTGTGCTGAGGGCTCCAGAGCTGGATGCAGTCCTCCAGGTGGGGTTTCACCAGAGCAGAGTAGAGGGGCAGAATCACCTCCCTCGACCTCTGGCCATTAATGTAGATTCAACCTTCCTGAATATTACTGGAAGTATCAGAGATGGGATTCAAACTCAATTTTTTATTTATAGTTATGCCCCCTAGCCATAAAACAAAGGCTTGAATAGGGTAGCATTCCACAGTTTTAGTTTCACCAAACTTCTAATGCACTTGCATGAATCATTTAGCCTTTCCTGGTCTCATTTTATCATTTCCTTTTTCCCTTTCACACGGGATCTGAGATGTCTTTGGTTTTGGAAATCCATTCTAAAGTGATCAGATAAAAGGAACAATAAAAATACAGTGGACAGCTATACCATTTACTAAGTATATGTCAAATATTTTACCTGGTAACGCTTGTAATATCTAACTCTTGAACCTAACCATTTATTTCATATGCTCCAAAATCTTTTAAAAGACAAAAAAAATTCCAGCACACAAAACAATAGATTGGTCAATCTACAGAACTACTCAGACCTATGTTAAGCAATGAAATTGAAATTACCATCCTTTTACTTCAATTTACATATCAAAAGTATTTTGTCCTTACAAATCTAATTCTTATTGCTGTTGCTATAGTAAAGTATACTTTCAACAGAAGCAAAGTTATCTTCTTGATTTAGGAATAATTCAATTAAATCTGATTTGGGCTGACAGGAATGTCTTCTTTTTTTAAAAACAAGGTTCCTGCTGTCATGAGTTCTCCACTTCAGGATTACAATCTGGAGTGATTTATGCAAATTCTCAAAATTTCTCTGCATGATATATGCTTTCTTTTGGTAGGGGTTCACAAATCGGATTTTATATGTCAAATATTGAAAAGGGAAAACGGAAACAGGTCAGTGTTTTAAATGTGATTGATTTCTTCAAAGGAAATGGGTGACATGATGCATTACTGCAATAAGATACTTTTATTTCAGTTATAAATCATAGGCTTCTGCTAGGCCTTTTTCAAGTGGAAGTCATGCAAAACCATCTTGAACTGCTGCAATGGGAACCTTCCATAAAAACTTTTTCTTTTTTATAATATGTTATTCTTCCCTCAATTTGCTTTGACAGATGGACTTCAGGCATGACGGTTACTTTACAGAAAACACTCAAGTCTAGAAGGTATTATTGGGAAGCCACTTTTTTTTTCCCCAACAAGAAAAACTGTAGAGTTTGAAACGCTTCACAAATGCTAGCCTATGGCTGGTATCATTAAAAAGTGTAATACATGACAACCTTGATTTGGATTATTGGGTGGATGTTCTTGAAAAATAAACACACAATCCTCTCTTCCCCCACCAAACCCCACATGCTTTTACTTTTTTACCCTATCAATTATGATCAGTAGTCTTTCTGTGCTACAAATAGTCAAACGGGTATTAAATTCAAGCAGCATGTAAGAATGTGCAATAGTGGACTCAATCTCTTCATATAAACAGCCCAGAAAGCAAATTCTGAAGCAGCAATAACTAATGACCTAAGTGATGGCTGTTAACCAGTCCTGACTTACAGCTCAGTTATCAAAAAGACTGTAATAAAGAACCGTAAGGGATAATTCTGTGAAAGAACAACAACAACAACAAAAGGAGTTTGGGGCAGAATGCCAAGCTTGGTAGGTTTATAGACTACTTTCACAGATAGTTAAAAAAAAAACACTATTAAAAATTACATGCGTGTGTTTGCTTCGGCTGAGGAATATATGTGAAACCATTTTAGCTGTGTCCACCAAAAATATTTTGATATGGTACCAGACTGTTCTGAGTCATCTGAAAACGGTCATACATGTGAATAAGCAAGCTAAGAGGACTGTACAACAGTATGGTAGTAAAGCACCTAGGCCTCACTGCTTATATTACCCCATATAAATTTCCATATTCACATTAACCTAGATCAACTGTTTATTCTAAACATCATTGCAACAACATATTCTTCACATTCTTCTCACATGGTGAAACCTGGTTTTGGTTATTAAACATGACAAATCTTGCCCCCGTGTCATTTTTATTAATAATGAAAAGCTCCTTCAACAGCTTTCCTTTGCACTTCTCACCTTAGCAGCTGGAATTGTAGAAACGATAACTCCTTCCTTTGTATTAGCCTAAGCGTAGCTTGCTGAATGTCAGAAGAGAATAGCCAGCTTCTGTCATTTGAACAAGGAGCATCAACCAGTATCTATACAATAAATAAGAGAGAATAAGACAATTCACAATAAAGGTATTCACTTTCTGAACACTGTGTGCCAAAAATCTACTCAACTTACTTTTGCAAACACTTAGAACTCCTTTTTTATTTTCCATTTTATGGGTAGAAATGATCCAATTACTGTTTTGAGATGTTTTTATGGTGTTATCAGGGTGGGGGGGGAGAGATAAGAAATTACTGCTCCAAAAGTACCCTCTACCTGAATAGCTGTCACTTGTTTCCCCCCTTCCTAATTACACATCATGCAAAGAACACAGCTACAAGGTCTTCAGAATTCACTACCAAGGCTAAATGGGTAACATCATCTAATGCATGAATAAATGCACAACAGACTTCATAAAGTGATTCCTGAGGCTCTGCAAATCCTGTACATGACCTTGGTTCCCCTTGATAGGTCAGATATTTTTGTGGGGGCCAGAAAAAAAAAGAAAATTAAAAAGAGAACAGCATAGGAAGAAAAAGAAGCAGAATGCAGAAGTATCAGTTGCTAATAAGTAGTAACGTTACCTTGTCATATAATTCAGGCTTAAGATCTCCAATCTGTGTACCATCCAGTTTAGAGACCATTATTAAGTTAGTCAAAGGATCTGGGATGAACGATTCTATTGTCTTTTTCAACCATCTTGACCTCAAGTCATCATATTCGTTACAGTGAAACTGACCTTAGAAAAATAAAAAAAATGAAGTAAACACCCTAAAAATAAGTCTTTGTGGTTTTTGTTTTGTTTTTTTACAAGTATAAGGAGTTATACCGATTTCAGAAGTTCTACTGTTTTGCCATGACTGCCGTAGAGTTTACACCTTATGTGCTTAATGTTATTGCACATTTTATAACACTGCTGAATTTTATAACCCCAAGTAAATTTCAACACGCTCCTACAGAACAATCCATAAAGGCGCTTAGGGACATGGTTTAGTGGACATGGTGGTGTTGGGTCGATGGTTGGACTCGATGATCTTAGAGGTCTTTTCCAACCTTAAGGATTCTATGATTCTATGATAAATATTTACTAGCAAACACTTACTGTAGCAACAGACTTCCACAGTAAAACAAACTTTAAACATGATCCATATCCAAAGACCAGTGCTAAGTGAATGCCTTTCTGGGCTCCTTGAGCCATTGTCTAAATGAAGTACATGCCCCTTATTAATTAATTCATTGCCTTTTAAATAAATAAAACATCAGTTTTGTGTATCCTAAGCCGAGCAGTCCAAACCCTTATTTATTTGAAATTTAAGCTAGAAATGTTTAAACAAAAGCCTTTTGGTTACACTTAACAATGTGGCCAGAGTAGTTACCCCTTCAAAAGAAACACTGCTGTTGCTTGTACCCAGACCAGAAACACAGCATGGTATTTTTTCCTCTTAGTCCTGTTTCCTAATTTAATAAAATTTCTATTTTCATGTCTCCACAGGCTGTCCTACACCATGTTTGCCACACACAATACGGTACATTTTAGCATTCCCTGAGGTATATTAAGAATCAACTTCCTTACATCTTATGTTCTCAGCAACAATTTGGTATCCTCAGAAGCAGCCATGGGATAAAAGTTGGGTTTTTTCAAACCTTTTGAAAGGGCAAGCCATATTTAATTTACCTCATTGGCATCACCTTGTTCCTCTGGAAGAGGTAGGGAGAACCCGCTGTAATCAACAGGTGAAGATGGTTATAGTCATGGTCTCATCAGTAAGAACATAAGGTGCTGTGAACATTTTGAGACAATTACTACCCAAGCTAAGGTATAAACTTGGAAACAGCAATCACAGCTTGCTTTAACTCCCTGGCCTGGGAGAACTGAGCTGCTGCTTGCTGTTGCATTCTAAACACTGTGATTATCTTAGTGCCCTTCTGCAACATCTAGGTGGATTGAGACACAGTGTTTATTAAATACTGATATAGACCAATTCCTCATCATAAGCTTTCTCCCTCTGCCTTGCACATTTAATTTGTTATGCTCCGTTTTACATCAGTACACTTAAATTTACTTATACTATTTGCATAGCACTGGCCAGAGAGGTAGCAGAGGAAAAGAAAAAAAGAAGAAAAAAAAAGTACAAGTAGTCTAAGATAGCAGATTCCTTACCTCCCTGTGCCAACAAATCTACATGATTTTAAGTAGCTTCTTGAGAAGTAACAATAAGGGAACCAGTGGAGGAAAAAAACCATGGAGCTACTCCACTTTTGTCTGTCAGTCTGCAGTAACCTATATTTAAATAACTACCGTATTTTTCATCCTCTTTTAGGTAAACAGACTTCATAAAGATCTTACTAAACAGCACAGAACTACTTGGAATATAAATTGTGGTTTGTTTTTTTGCCCCCAATCTAAATCTCATACAGAACACAGGCACAACTGAAATAGGCCAGGCGCAGAGCCAGGGATCAGCTTCTCACAGCACCTCAATACGTTACCTGGATAGGCACACTGCAGTATAGCTACTGATTTACCCCCTGGTGCAGCACAGAGATCCAAAACGTCTTCCCCATCTTTCACTTCTAACGCCAGCACTGGCAACAGCGAAGCAGCATTCAGCAGATAATACTCTTTCAGTTTACCAGCCTGGTGCTTTTGTGCAGGGAATCTCCCAGGAGTTCTCCTGACGTAACACTTCAACGATGCCGGAAGATAGGGCAAAGGTCCTTGAAAGGCAGGATGATACCCCTTCACAGGCAAGGTGTTCTCCAGTTCAGCAGACTGGCTGAACTTGTTAAGCAGGACGGCATACTGCCAGCACAATGGGTATGTGAGTACATCTCTAGATTGAAAAAAGGAAAAGCTATTTAATAACTTGGCAAACAAAATGAGCTTTCCATAGTGTAGGAAGCCTTCTCTTACATAAGGGTAACAATCTCACCATTGGATGATTCTGGTACAATCAAAAAGGAATCATTTTGATTAGATATGATTAAGAAAAGTATGCAAGAAAATAATTTTAATAGGAAATCCAGCCACTGTTTTCTCTAATTATTGCATTTAAAACATTAACTTCTTCTGAAACAAGATGTTCTTTATTTTTTCCTAATTCTTTAACAAATGACTGTAGAAGTTATATATTATGAAGCACAATGCTCTTTCTGACTATAAAGTACTTCCCTAGGGAAAAAGAACAACTGTAATATTAGTTGTAAATATCACAACAAAAAGAATCACATTGGCTTTGCGATGGTTATTCCAGCCAACACTGTAAAATGCAGTTTTTACAAATGTTCTTTTCTAAATTTCCTTTTACGTTCTGCAAACACTGGGCCAGAAAAACTTAAACCAATAGCTATTCCTGGAAGAAGGTAAAAACCAGTGCTTATATGGTAGAACACGCTTGTTCATATTTTAGTTCACCTTTTCAGACTTTTCTTACATGGATTTCCCCCATTTTCTATTTGAATTTCTCTCAGTATTTTTTCATTTAGCCTCAAAAAATACTCCTCAGGAATATTCACTGCCTAGAAGAGAAATACGCATTGATACAACCTAAAGAAGTTTTTAAAGTGATTCACTTAAATTAATGCTATACATCTAGGCTTTTTTTTTTTTTAAACAACAGAGGCACTTATTTTAAAATACTTTTTAATCCAAACAGGCTAAAAAACCGAAGTGGTCACTCAGAGGAATCACATGGTTTCCAAGACTCTGGTCACGTAAGATGCTTTTCCCTTCAAAGTAACGTGGCACTGATCACGGGAGCACTCCTTGTGCACTTGAGGTCAAAGTCAACTGCTTTTGTTCAAATTCCTGTTGAAAAATATATAAGCCAAGCAGTGAACTTCTCCAGAAGGGCTCTTCTGCGGGCTTTCCTATGAGCAACAACCACCAGCTAGCACGGAAGGGAAGATATTTTGTCTCAATACCACAGCCAATTCTTCAGCAGCTGTGTGATCAAGGCCCAAATTAAGTGACAGTCTTTTCTGTACATGTCATTAATATCCATTTTCTTCTAATGAAAGAAATCTGGGGATGTACTTCCCTCCTAACATCTTTGTCCCAGTCTCTCAAGATACTATAAAGCTGTAGAAAAAAACCCAATCCTAAAGTATAAAGGGATGCTTTTTGGACCATGTACCAATCCTAACAGCAGCTGTTAAGTATAAAGGGATGCTTTTTGGACCATGTTTTTACAAAACACGTCAACAAACACATAAGACGGCAATCTCCTTGCAGTGTATATGCATACAGGAGAACAGAAACTTCATCACGTCCAAAAGAATCACGTCAAGGAAAAAAAAAAAAAATTCCAAGTTTTAGTCTTCTGTTACTTAACACTTTTACGCTAGTTCTAAACTGAAAACAAAATGAAGCAGTTGTTACAGTCCATGACTCTTTTCAAAGTTATTTTATGAAGCACTTTAAAAATAACAGAACTTCTCCTCTCCCATCTCCCCAGAACAACAGACCTGACATTGGTCCATGTATTTCCCAGTTCCCTTGTGTACTGCTTCTCAAAATGATCCAGAACAACTTGACAAATCTGCTTTTGAAGTTTCCTTTTTGCTTTATTTTCCAGCTTCAGGAGAAAGGAGGAAAAAAGAAAAGCAGTAAAAACAAACAAATGAAACCCTCCCTATTTCTCACTGGAATTATTAAAAGAACATTGTATCAATTTAAATCAACTTAGTATCAGTGATATTAGGATGCTCAAATATCAAGGTCACATCACACATGCCATCAAGACATAACAGAAAATTCAGAGAACAAACAGGTTAAGCTAGAGTACTCTCTTCTTCCCTACCTGTGAAGAGGTCATTCAAAGCTTGCTGATAATACGCCTCTGTATGCACTATGGTAATAATACAGTGGCTCCTGGGACTGTAATATACCAGGAGCAAAATAAGCAAGGCGTGATTATGATCCTGCACTGTGATCACCTCTGCCAAGAGGTACCCATAAGTAAAAGAAATAAATTAATTTGAACCATTGTGGAAGTCATCCGGAGTTGAGCCACAAAGCACTGC